ATATACCCCCTTGGAACTGATGGTCCCACATTGAGGACACTCAAAGGATGAGCCTGCTGACCCCACTTTCTCATTTGCAGTGCTTTGCTGGTATAATTTCCTCTACTTGCTTAGGGAGTAGACTGTATGTACTCTAAGGGGAAAAAAATAAGTTTTCCAACATGACTATAAAAATGAAACAAAATTGTACAGTTAAAAATAATGCATATCCAAAGCAATTGTTTTTAAAAGAAATTTCTGCCAGAGCATACTAAATGCTTTAGTTAGAAAATCACATAATTAAGTCATCAACTCAATTATATGAACAAATAACGCAAGTATAAATCCCACACCAGTAATTAGTAAATAATTTGTTGACTTTTGGAATGTGCTATGTGATGTTTTAGTAACATGCCTTCCCAGTTACATCTTACAAATGCTGATAATACTTTTTGTTTGTATTTAGTGAATATATACCAGTGAGGCAATGAGGGATAAATCATCTACACACAGAAAAATGGATTAAAAATGTTTGATATAAGTCAAATGTGTGCTATTTTTCCTTTCTAGATTGTTTTCTTCCAGTTAATATTGGAATAGTTTTGTACTACATAACCACTAAGAGGAAGAAAAGCCAGTCTGGGTATTTAATTTATTTCAACTATTTCACTCACAAGTAATTAACTGTACATAGTTAAAAGTTGGATTTTAATTAATTTTATCTGAACTTTGGCTTACTTGATAAATTATTTACTATTTTAAAATCTATGGACCACATATGTTGCATAACAGTTTAAAAGTAGGGCTTTACTAACTGCTATCAAGTTATTAAGTTTCCCTTCTTTCTTAGTCATAATCAGTCATTGAAAAAAAATGGTAGAATATATCATTCACATTTACAATTCCAAGATGGATTAAATAAACACTATGATGGGAGTTAGCCTGACAAAATGTTTTTGAAACTTATTTTCTAGTTATGAATAAACTTTGAGACAGTTCTAGTTAAAGATAATCCAATTTGCTTTTTAGTGTGGTTTAAATCACAAGTCAGAAACTTTATAAACTCCCTAAAAGAAAGGGAATGAAAAAAATTGGATAAGAAAACTACCTCTATTTCGGGGTGCCTGGGTGGCTCAGTCGGTTAAGTGTCCAACTCTGGCTCAGATCATGATCTCACGGTCCGTGGGTTCAAGCCCCATATCGGGCTCTGTGCTGACAGCTCAGAGCCTGGAGACTGCTTCAGATTCTGTGTCTGTCTCTCTCTCTGACCTTCCCCTGCTCACACTCTTGCGTGCTCTCTCTCTGAGAAATAAATAAAACATTAAAAAAAATAAACCTAACTTAAGAAAACTACCTGTATTTCAAAGACCAAGTGTAATACAAATTGCCATATTAAAATTAAGCTTTTTAATTTCTACTTTATGTTGAGTAAAGAAAGTAAGTATACTAAGAAGCAGCTTTTAATGTGTTGATTAAAGAAACAAAAAATACAGACTTCTGGAACACCAGCAAATCAGTGTATTCCCAACATTACTGTATTGGTATAAAAACAGTGGAATAGAATAGAGAACCCAGAAATAAACCCACACATATTTACCCAATTAATTTACAACAAAGGAACCAATCATATACAGTGAGAAAAGGATAGTCTCTTCAATAAATGGTGCTGGGGAAACTTGACCGCTGTCTTAACCCTATGCACAAGAAATTAACACAAAATGGATTAATGACTTGAATGTGAGACTTGAAACCAAAAAACCCCTAAATAGAAAATATTATAGAGGAGTAAGCTCCTTGCCATTGGTATCGGTGAGGAGTTTTCAGATTTGACACCAAAAACAAAGGCAGCAAAAAAACAAAATAAACAAACATGGGGCTACACCAGATTAAAAACTGCACAGCAAAGGAAATCATCAACAAAATGAAAAGGGAACCAATAGAATGGGAGAAAATATTTGCAAGTTATATATCTGATAAGGGGGTTGTATCCAAAGTATGTAAAGAACTCATAACACTCAATAGCAAAACAAAAACAAAAACAAAAACAAAAACAAAAAACCAATCATTTTTAAATGGGCAGAGGATCTAAAGAGACTTTTTTTTTTTTAGGTTTATTCATTTATTTTTGAAAGAGAGAGGGAGACACTGAATCTGAAGCAGGCTCCAGACTCTTGAGCTGTCAGTGCAGAACCGATGCAGGGCTCCAACCCACGAACCATGAGATCATTACCTGAGCTGAAGTCAGACACTTAACCGACAGAACCAGCTAGGTGCCCCTGAATGGACATTTTTCCAAAAATGTACAGATGGCCAACAGGCACGTGAAAAGATATTCAATATCACTCATCATCAGGGGAATGCAAATCAAAATCACATTGAGATATCACCTCACACCTGTTAGAATGGCTAGTATCAAAAAGAAAATGGGGTATCGAGGTGGCTCAGTTGGTTGAGCAACTGACTCTTGATTTTGGTTCAGTTCATGATCCCAGGATTGTGGGAGTGACCCCTGCATTGGGCTCCACTCTGAGCGTGGATCCTGCTTAAGAGTCTTTCTCTCACTCTGACCTTCTCGTCTCATGCTCTTTAAAATAAAATTAAGAAACCAAACAAATGTTGGCAGAGGTGTGGAGAAATGGGAATGCTTGTGCACTACTGCTGGAAATGTAAACTGATACAGCTACTGTGGAAACCAGTATAGAGTTTCCTCAAAAAAAAGTTACAAATAGAACTCCCATATGATCTAGCAATTGCACTTTGGGTATCTATCCAAAAGAAATGAAAATACCAATTCAAAAAAAATACATCTACCCCCATGTTCCCTGCAGTATTATTAATAACATAGCAACAACCTAAGTGTCCACTGATGGATGAATGGGTGCCATACATAAATATGTAAGTGCCATACTTACATATTTATACAATGGGATATTATTCAGCCATAAAAAAGGAATCTTGCCATTTCCAACAACATGGATGGACCTTAAGGGCATTATACTAAGTAAAGTAAGTCAGATTTGAGAAACACAAATACCATATGATCTCACTTATATGTGGAATCTAAAATAACAACAAAAACAAAAGCAAGCTCATAGATAAGGAAAACAGATTGGTGGTTGCCAGAGGCAGGGAGTGAGGGGTGGGTGAAATGGGTGAAGGGAGTCCAAAAGGTACAAAATTCCAGTTATGAATTAAGTCATGGGAATATACAGCATGATAATTAGTTAATAATACAACCGTATATTTGAAATTTGCTAAAAGAGTAGATCTTAAAAGTTCACAGGAAAAAAATTTTTAACTGTGTGTGGTGATGGATATTAACTTAGACTTACTGTGGTAATCATTTTGCAAATTATACAAATGTCAAATCAGTATTTAGTACACCAGAAACTAATGTTATATGTCAGTTATAGCTCAGTTTTATAAAAGACAAAACACAAACTTCTGGAACACAAGCAAATTACATGTACTTCCAATTAGTCACAAAGTTTTTAACTCTAGGCGGATGACAACTTGCAAATTAAATCCACAAAACAGGATACTAAAAGGCTACATATGTAGAATTATAGAAAAGGGAACCTCAATTATTTTCATAAGTTCTAAGAAATTAGTTGCATTCATTATTCAACTTTAAATTTCAAATTGAAATTTGGTGGTGACGAGAGCTTGAGAGGTCCATACACAAACAATTTGATAACTGTTGCAAGCTATGGAAAAAGACTGGGGAAAGTGATGAGCTGTGACTCTTCATCAAGGTAGAGTGTCCTACGCTGCAGACAAAGGCCTCTGCAAATGAGAGCCTTTGACATGAGTCTATGGATAATAGGCATTGGAGGTTTTCTGTTAATTTAGTACTCTAAGAAAATTTTAAACATCACTTTGAAATAGGAATGTGATAGTGTTCATCAAAAGATATGAGGGGCACCTGGGTGGCTCAGTGGGTTAAGCACCGGACTTCAGCTCAGGTCATGATCTCACGGGTTTGTGGGTTCAAGCCCCACGTCGGGCTCTGTGCTGACAGCTCAGAGCCTGGAGCCTGTTTCGGATTCTGTGTCTCCCTCTCTCTCTGTCCCTCCCCTGCTCATATTGTCTCATTCTGTCTCTCAAAAATAAATAAATGTAAAAAAAGTTTTTTAAAGATATGAATGAATTCAAGTGGTGTTTTTAGAATACTTTATTCAGTCATGGCAAAACTCATCGGTTTATTCAACTTTGTTATATTTTAAATATTTGTATTAGTAAACCAAACAAGATCCTTTTTAAGTTTTCTATTTCTTTTTTCTAAAAATTGTACATCTGGTTTTTCAATTACATCTCATATTTATGACCACAAAAACTTCCCAATTTTTCTGGTAAATGTTTGGTTATGGTTTGGTCTAGGACCAAATCAGGCTTGTAACTTCAACTTGTCTCGTTTAGAGGATGGGAGAAGGCAGGTCACGGTCACCCCTGGAGCGCTCTCAAATAGCAGCCACCTGGCCTGTTTCTTTCTTCCCAGTACCCTTCCTGGTAACTGCAAAGACAGACTCGCCGCAAACCTCCAAAATCCTTGGGATGTCGGCGATCCCTTTAAACAGTGGTGCAGCAGTCCCCTCCCGAGATGAGCACGCTTGGTTATTCCTAGGCGCCTTCAGCCTGGTTCCCGGGGCTTGGGAGCCCAGCGGGGGCTGATGAATGGCCCAATGGGTTACTGAGACAAAAAGAGAGAGAGAGAGAGAGACTCCGTGAGGCATTTTGGATGAACAGTGATAAACTGGGTCTTCCACCCCACTAAGTGCCATTTTTCCTGCCTCTGTAGCCTGCTGCTCACTCTGCACTTAGGAAACAATGCTCGGTAGAAGCCCCTGGAGTTCTCTATCCTAAACATGGCCGCTGGCGCGCGTCCCTCCAGGGGATGTGAATGGAGACCCCGGCCTCCCCGCAGGTGTCGTAGTGTGACCCAGGCCAGCTCACAAACGCACAGGGGCGCGGCGGATCCGAGGCGCTCTGGTGCAGGGTTGCGTCAGTGCGGGGCAGCAGGCCGCCGCTCTCTCCCGAATTGCTGGATGCTTCTCTGCCCCCATCCCCGCTCTGCCACCGACTGGAGTCGCAGCTGCTGAGAAGCTCCAGGTGAAGCGAATAGCTGTGACTTACTTAGGCCACCCTCTAAGCCAAACCCAGGTTTTCTTCTCCCATTTCCCCCTCAACACCAACAGTACTTTATGTCCTCTCTCTTCATGCCCCAGGGATACTCACCTCAGGCGTGAGTGTGTCCTGTCCCACATTGCTTTAGCCTCTGTTGAGGGGCCTTTATTTCACACTCCAGGAGACAATTCGTTAATGCTGCAAGATGCAAAAACGTCTTGTGGTTTGTGTCCAGGTCTTTCAAACAGGTAACACACAGATTTATTGTTCAACCTGGCTATTATCTGTGAAAACAGAGTGGGATCTATTTTTTCCTATTAGATTGGCAGTATTTACTCCTTTTTAAAAAAATGTTTATTTTGAAAGAGTGTGCAAGCAGGGGAAGGACCAGAGAGAGGAAGAGAGAGAATCCCAAGCAGTCTCCAGTGCTGTCAGCACAGAGCTGGCTCAATCTCAGGAACTCAGTCTCAATGCAGTTCATGACCTACAGCAGAAATCATGAGTCGCAAGCTTAACGGACTGAGCCACCCAGGCACACCAGTATTTACTTTTAAGTAAATCTCCCAGTGCTTGTAAGAATGAGGGGGAAAAAAGACTCTCTCCTATACATTTTAAGAATGTTATTTAGCTATGTGGATCAGCCTTCAAAATATTCACATGCTAATGGTTATACAATTGATAACAGACTACAAAGAATATTTTGCAGGCAAGAAAGATATGCTTTTCAAATATTTTGTTTCAAATCACAGTATGTTAACTATGTTGTATATATCCCGTGATGGTGAAAATGTTCAATATCTGAACTGCTCATTAAGGTGGTCACTAGGCACATTTGGCTGTTAAGCACTTGAAATGTGGCTAGTGTGACTGAGAAGCTAAACTGTAATTTAATTTAATTTAAATTGAAATAGCCACATATAGCTACTGCTACCATATTAGACAATGATCCTATATAGTAAGGTCTCAATTTTGTAAAACAAAACAAACCCAATAATAATAATAGGTATTATATTACCACTGGTTATCTCTAAAAAGCAGTTATAGAGAACATCATAGTTGCTTCTTCAGCATCTGTTCTTCCTTTGGGTTTGGGTTGCTCTATTTCCCCTATGATATTTGGGGTAGGCAAATGCTCACCCTGGCTATAAGGTTGAGCCATGTAGTACTATCTAAAATGGTATTACTCTCTGACTCCTGGCCACAGTCATTGGTTCATTGGTTCATTGGTTCAAGGTTGGGCACTTGACCTAATTTGGGCCAATAGAATAGGCAATCTCATCTCTGACTCTGTTTCTCCTCTATTACCGGTCCAAACTGGCTATACCATTCACAGTCAATTTGTAGGTATCCGACATGAAGACCAGAGCAGTGCTTGTGTAGTTAAGTGTCTCTTCTTACACTCTTTTGTTATACAACAATATGAATGTACCTAGTGCTATTAACTATACACTTGAAAATAATTAAAATGATAAACTTTATATATATTTTACCACAATAAAAAAATAAAACAAAAACAACCCTTTTGCAGAAACACAACCAAACACCTGGGACAAAAACTACCATGAACTGTGATAACCCATCAAGATAATAATCCCATGTATGCCACACTTACTAAAGAAAGCCCTGGGGCTAAAACCACCTGAAAAAGCTATTCCCACAATAGTCAAAAGCACAATCTGGGCTGCTACAAAATGTCAAGGTCAAAACTCTACAACCATAAACCATGGACCCTTAACACCCAGAGACTTAATTTCTCCAGTTATATTTATTTTTCAGAATGTTCTGCCAAGGCAGCAGGTGTTGCAATTTGAGGAGCAGTTGAAGAATAACACCCTTTCTTCCCCTCCCGAGTTTTTTATCATTAAATATAATCAGGCACAAGGGGTTCAAAATATCACATATATTACTGATAAAGTAGTTTAGAGAAAGTGGCTTTGGTCTGTAGCTAAGTGGACTTGGGATAGTTCCACCCTGAAATTTAAAAAATAATAATAATGTTTATTTGGGAGAGCATGCATGCAAGCGTGGGAGGGGCAGCAAGAGAGACAGAATCAGAAGCAGGCTCTGCGCTATCAGCCCGAACCCCAATGTGGGGCTTGAACTCATTAACTGTGAGGTCATGATCTGTGAGATCCAACCTAAGTTGGATGCTTAACCAACTGAGCCACTCAGGTACCCCAGTTCCCCCCTGATTTTGACATAATTACTTTGTCATCACACAGATGGACAATCTCGGCTCCTTTAACAGGTATTCAACCCTCTTATTCTATGGAAGACAGCTGACTAGAACACAGATCTTGCAGGCAGAAAGATCTGGAGGGAAACCAGCAGGAGCTGAGGTCATCAATTATTCAAGTCTTCTCTGTAGAGGAGATATTCTGGAGATGAGGCTCTAGGCCAAGGGCATTACACGACTAGAGTTTCCTCTACACAGGAATATGAAGCCAGGAGAAGGTAATTACTTCACCATGTCTTGAGAAGAAAAAGAAAGCTTGGACAAACCAGTAACCATCATATCTAGTAAGTAAGAGATCAAAAAATTTTTTACAGTGGCACGTGTGTGGCTCAGTCGTTTAACATCCAACTTTGGCTCAGGTCATGATCTCACAATTCATGAGTTCAAGCCCTGCATTGGGCTCTGTGCTGAAAGCTCAGAGCCTGGAGCCACCTTGGGATTCTGTGTCTCCCTCTCTCTCTAACCCTTCCCTGCTCGTACTCTGTCCCTCTCTGTCTCGCAAAAAATAAAATAATAAACGTTAATTTTTAAAAAATTTACAGAACCTTGAGGGAACAGATTATCCCTATAACATAAAATGCTTCAACAAATAGATAATTAGGTCACTTTATGGGGTTAACCTTGACAACCAAACTGAATAAGAACATTACAGAAAAGTAAAATAATAAACAAAATTGGTAATAATATAGACATAAAAACTCTGAGTAAATGTTACATGTAATCCAGAAGTGAATTAAAAAGCAATATATTGTAACCAAGTCTGATTTACACTCAGAATGTCAGATGTGCAATAAAGGAAATCTATTAACGGAATATACCACACTAGCAGATTTAAAAAAGAAGACAAAGATAGCTGCTGTCATTCCCCCATTCCACATTGTACTTACTGAAAGGCTTAAAAAATGCAAGAAGACAATATATGAGTCAGAGAATTGTATAAGAAGAAACACACACTGCCCATATTTATAATACTGTCTATAGAAAATCTAGGAGAATGTATAAAGCCCAGTCATATTACTAAAGACAAGATCAACAAAAACTATTAGTGTTCCTATATACCAATATTTTAAAAACTAAAGAAAAAGACATAGAAATCAGATATCATTCCTAACAGTAAAAGAGATATACCATGTTATTAAATAGGAAGAATCAATATCATAAATGTATCACTTCTTTCCCAAATTAGTTCACAAATTTAATTCAATTCTTACTGAAATACAAGCAAGATATTTTGTGGAACTTGGACCCTGACATTGATCTGGGTATGTAAAGGATTGAGAATAACCACCATAGTTTTGAAGGAAAAGGATAAGGGGGGAGGATTATCTTTACCAGGTACCAAGATTTATTATAAAGCTATCATCATTAAAAGATGTGATTTGATGCAAACTTAGACAAATAGATAAAAGGAATAGAAATGAAAGTCCAGAAAGAGCTCTACACATATATGATGTTTGATGGGGGCAGCATTTGAAATCAGAGAAGAAAGAATTTACTATTGAATATATTACACAGACAACTAGCTAGACATATGAGAAAAATTAAATTAGATCCCTTCCTCATAGCATATGCAAAATAATTTCCATATGGACTAAAGAACTGTGAAAGACAAAGTATAAATTTTTTAAAAATTTTGTGCTGGATATATTCCATTTGCCACTTACATTATCATTTAGTTTTTGCTGCATAAGGACACACTTTAAGCTCACGATTCTGTAAGCCATCTGGGGTTGGCTCAGACAATTCTGATATTGGTGGCTGGGCTCACTAGGGTATTTGTGGTCAGCTGACAGTCAGCTAGGTCACTCTGCTTCTGCATGTTGGCTGGCTGAAGGCTGGAGTCACTAGCCAACTGTCTCTCATCATCCAGTAAGCTAGCCACGCTTCTTCACACAGCATAGATGACAGGGGTTTCAAAAACTGTGAGAGGGCAGTCTCCCAGTGTCTGGGCGCTTTTCAAAGTTCTGCCTAATACCACGGGTGCTAATGCCCCATTGGCCAACATCAGTCACACAACCAACATGAGATTCAAGAGGTGAGGAAATAGACTCTACTTCTTGGCACACATACAGACATTGGAAAAACTTGTGGTCATTTTTGTAATCTCCACCCTCTGATTCTGCTTTGTGCCCCAAAGGGCTAAACTGTAGGGACTTCACCCAGGGTCCCTCATGCTCTCTGGCTTCCTGATGAGTTTAGCTAACAGGGAGCTGCAGCAGAAGCTAAGAATGGAGAATGAGATTGGGGATTTATCCCCCTGGCTCTCTTTACTGTAGCATTGCTGCAGGCTGTGTTCATTCATCTAGGATCCAAGCAACAGTCAGATGGCCTTTGTGCACAGTGCACTGTCTGGGTTCTCTCTCACTCCCACTTCAGGCTTAGGAGTATCCGTGGAGCTACTGTACTAGCCCTGGGATACAACACTCTGTGATTTCCCTACACACTACCCATACCTTTGTAAATAAACTCTCTGTTAAACTTCCTTCACGTTTACAAATTCAAACTTTGAATTTGAGTGGATCATGCATTCCTATGATAGAGCAGTAACTATAGAAGAATTTCTTAAGGCACAAAAAGCAAAACCAAAAAATTAAAATAGGACAAAACACATTGTGGAAATAGAAAATTACAAACCCAATACTTGGACTCAGCCATAGTTAAAGCCCAGAAGCATACATTTTGAGAAACCTTGAGTGGAGATGATTTGGACACAGACAATTTTAATAATCATTAGCACTAAGTTAAACAAAAGCCAAAAATATATTGATTAAATCCCAGTCTGGCCTGGGGTGGTTAAGGCTGTACTGAAATTAGTACTATGCATGTATATAAAATAATTTATTTAATATGCCTTCTAAAATGGACATTTATGTTATTTCCAATCTGTTACTATTGCAAACTATGTTTTTTGCATCTACTTTAGAATTCATTCTTTAACTCTTGAATGCTGACAAAAACTGAGGACTGATGGATGTGGGGGGGAGGGGGGATGGGCATGGAGGAGGGCACTTTGGGGATGAGCACTGAGTGTTATGTGGAAACTAATTTGACAATAAACTATTTGTAAAAAAAAAAAAAAAAAAAAAAGAATTCATTCTCTATTCTCGGGGCACCTGGGTGGCTCAGTTGGTTAAGCATCTCCTCAGGTCATGATCTCAAGGTTCGTGGGTTCAGGCTCCATACTGGGCTCTGTGCTGGCAGTGCGGAACCTGCATGGAATTCTCTCTCTCTCTCTCTCTGCCCCTCCCCTGCACTCACTCTTTCTCTTTCTCAAAATAAATAAACTTAAAAATATACTTTAAAAAAAGAATTCATTCTCTATCCTAATGTCATGGAGACATCTTCCTATTTCATCTGCTTGAAATATCACTGTTTTACTTTTCATATTTAAACCTATAGTCGACCTAAAATTGATTTTTGTGGATGGCAAGATAGGGGTGAAATATCTTTTCTTTCTATATGGATTCTCGGTAGACCCAGAATCAAAAGGCATACTTTCTACAGTGACCTTTACCTTTGTCATAAATCAAATCCATTTGTAACATTGGTTCCTCCTTTTAATTTCAATTTCAACCTTACTGTGATCTTATGCTTCAGAGTCATGTTTCATAAATGGCACTTAGGTTTTCTTTTTTATTTGTTTTTAATCTGACTTTTAAATGGTTATTTAGTCTATTCACATTTATTTTGATTATCATATACTTGGACTTGTTTCTACTTTCTTTTAGATTTTTTTCGGTCCAATTTCTTTTTCTTTCCTTTAGTACTTTTTAAAAATTCTGACTGAATACTGTCATTGTTCCTCTTCTCCTTTGTGTGTTTCCCCTTAAAGTTTTTCTCTTTACAAATCTGGCATTTATTTCCTCTACTTTTATTCTGTTGATAATAACTCTTAAAAATTTATCAGGAGCACCTGGGTGGCTCAGTCATTTAAGCATCCCAACTCTCGGTTTCCACTCATGTCATAATCTTGTACTTCATGGGTTCAAGCTCTGTGTCAGGCTCTGCACTGGCACTGCGGAGTCTGCTTGGGATTTTCTCTCCCTCTGCCCCTCCCCCTGCTTGCACTCTTTCTCTCAAATTAAATACATAACTTTAAAAAGTTATCAACTTTTATCAAGCATGTCTAACACAGTCTTAAAACTGAACAACTTCTCATCTACCTCAGATAAAAAGACTTTAGAACATTTTTGCTTAGGTGTTTTTAAATTTTATTTGGAAATAATTTTAGATTTACAGGAAAATTGCAATAGTAAAGAGAATTCCTTTCTACACTTCATCCAGCTTCTCCTAATATTAATAGTTTTCATAATCATAGTACAGTCATCAAAACAAGAACACTACTAACTAAACAACGAACTTTATTTGAAATTTATATTTTTCATTAAGGTCTTTTTTTCTGTACTATAATCTAACCCAGAATCCCCTGTTAAATCCAGTTGTCAAGTCTCCTTAGTCTCCTATAGTCTGTGATGCTTACGAGTCTTTTTTTGTCTTTTATGTCCTCAATATTTTTGAAGATAACTGACAGTTATTTTGTAGAATGTCCCTCAATTTGGATTTGTCTGATTTTTCCCCCTGATTTGACTGAGGTTATGCATTTTTGGCAAGGAAAGTAAAAGAGTAGGAAAAAAATCCCAGCATTTAACATATTGCTGGGGCTTATAATATTTAAAACTTTTATAATGTTTAGAATTTTTGCCTTGAGTAAAGTTGGCCTGTAATTTTTCATACTGTCCTCACTAGGTGTTGATGCCAATGTTAGTGCTAGTATCATAAAATAAGCTGGAAAATGTTCCCTCTTTTTTTTTTATTCTCTTGGTGAATCTGTGAAATGTTGAAACCATACCAGTTTAATAGAAAGTATTTAATATAGAGAGACATGTAGACAAATATTGGAGACCAGAAAAATAAAAAGGGAAACTTCAGTAACACAGAAGATAGTAAAGGATGAAGGGACCAGGGAAAGAGGTTGGGTTATTAAGAAATATACACTCAGAAGACAGACTTACAAAGCTGGGATCCAGACCTCTGAGGGGGTTGCTGGCAGCTGTGCAGATCCTTCAGGAATCACACAAAGGACTCACAGTTAGGCTTCACTTAAGTTGTTTTTACTTCTAGTTATTCTTACAGAAGTCATCTCCCTTTCTTAAGATATTTTACTTCCATCTATTAGAAAGTTATCATAATGTACTGAATTTGTTGGGAAAAGACACTTCAGTACCATAAGTAAACCTACAATGTCCACAATGCAAATGGCACTCTGCATGTCAGGGAGGTGCTGGCATTTTGTCTTCCAAAAATTTGCTGAATTCTTTCATTCCTTCACATTTCTTTTCTCATTTTCTTTGACCTTTTTTATTCCTTTCTATATATTTTTTAAAAATCTTAAAATATTTTTTAAAATGTTAATTGATTAAGAAACTTTGATGTTTATTTATTTTTGAGAAATAGAGAACATGAGAGAGGGAGAGGCAGAGAGAGTGAGGGACAGAGAATCTGAAACAGGCTCTGTGCTCACAGCAGAGAGCCTGATGCAGGGCTCAAACCCACCAACCATGAGATCATGACCTGAGCCAAAGTCAAAGGTTAACTGACTGAGCCAGCCGGGCGGCACAATGTTTATTTTTGAGATGGGGGAGGGTGTGAGCTGGGGAGGGGCAGAGAGATTGAGGGTCAGAAGATTTGAAGGGGCCTCTGCACTAACAGTTAAGAGCCAGACGTGGGGTTCCAACTCATAAAATGAGATCATGACCTGAGCCAAAGTTGGATGTTCAACTGACTAAACAACCCAGGCACCCTTCCTTTCTATAATTTTAGTATGATTTCAAAAATATCATGTGATAAATGCATACAATCAATAAACTATTTTTATTTATTTACTTTTTATTTTAAAAAGTTTTTAATGTTTTCTTTATTTCTGAGAGAGAGAGAGAGACAGTGTGAGCAGGGGAGGGTCAGAGAGAGAGGGAGACACAGAATGTGAAGCAGGTTCCAGGCTCTGAGCTGTCAGCACAGAGCCTGACGTGGGGCTTGAACCCACGAACCATGAGATCATGACCTGAGCCGAAGTCAGATACTTAACTGACTGAGCCACCCAGGCGCCCCTCAATAAACTTTTTTTAACTAGCAACCATATATAAAATTAACATATTAGTTATAAATGTATTATTTTTGTATCTATTAAATTACTCACTATAGAATAAGAATTATTTTAAAATTAATTTGTAGTTTTGACATCTTTATTATATCTCTTCTTTTAACATCAACATTTGTTTTGTAGGTTCAAAGGAGAAATTTAACATGAAAATTAAAATTGAGTTATAGTCTTGTATTGGTATAAAACATACCAGCAAATAAGATGTCTGAAAAGGAGGGTACTTCAGAAGAGCTAGAAGATATCACTAGTCAACTTAGGAAAGAATCTGGATTATGGTCAGAAGAGCCTGAATTTATTAAAGAAACATCAAATTCTTTAGAGGAAGTTTGTGATGGGAAACCTTCCAGTCAGATTTGTGAAACACATCCTAGAAATGATAAATTAGGTATATATGATGATACATCAGCATTGTCCCCTGAAAAGTCTGAGAGAAATGAAGATCAAAGGAAAACTCTTCAATCTTCTGAAACAATCGCTCTATCTGACACCTTCCAGTCAAAAAGTGATATTTCACAAAGTCCACCATTATCAATGACTGAGGTGGTTGCTGAATATCAGGATTTTACTGGTTCCTCTCATGAAACATTAGAAAAAACCAGTCCACAACTCTCTGAGGAAAATCAGAAAGAACTTCGCTTAGGATCAGATAACTTTACAGTTAACCTCAAGGCCAAAGGTTTACAAGAATTCCCTAAGGACATCTTAAAAGTCAAATATGTAAAATATCTATATTTGGATGAGAACCAAATCAAAAATTTTAAAGGGGCAGACTCAGGTGATCTGCTAGGACTTGAAATTCTGTCCTTGCAAGGAAATGGGTTATCATCTCTACCATCTGAAATTCAATTACTTCATAATTTAAGGATATTAAATGTCAGTCACAATCAAATATCACATATACCTAAAGAAATATCACAGCTTGGGAATATCAGGCAACTCTTTTTTAATAACAATTACATTGAGAATTTTCCTTCTGGCTTAGAAAGTCTTGGAAACTTAGAAATTTTAAGTTTGGCTAAAAATAACTTAAGACATATACCAGACACTCTGTCTAGTTTGAAAAACTTGAGGGTTCTCAATCTGGAATATAATCAGTTAGCAATATTTCCTAAAGCTCTGTGCTTCCTTCCAAAGTTAATTTCACTAAACCTTACTGGAAACCTGATAAGGAGTTTGCCAAAAGAAATTAGAGAGCTTAAAAATTTAGAAAAACTTGTACTGGATCATAACCAGCTTACTTTTTTGGCTGTGGAAATTTTTCAGTTGCTCAAAATGAAAGAAATTCAACTAGCTGATAATAAACTGGAAGTTATTTCACAGAAAATTGAGAATTTTAAGGAACTCAGAATTCTAATACTTGATAAAAATTTATTGAAAGAAATACCAGAGAAAATTTCCCACTGTGTAATGTTGGAATGCCTTAGTCTTAGTAATAATAAATTAACGGAACTTCCTAAGAACATCCATAAGCTCAAAAATTTAAGAAAACTCCATGTAAACAGAAATAATATAGTGAGAATACCTGAAGATATCTCACATCTTAATAGTATGTTCAGTCTAGAATTTTCAGGAAATATAATCACAGATGTTCCCATTGAGGTAAAAAATTGCAGAAAAATAACTAGAATTGAACTGAGTTATAACAAAATAATGTATTTTCCAGTAAGTTTGTGTGCCTTAGAATCTCTTTATTATTTGAATTTTAATGGAAATTATATTTCAGAAATACCTGTAGATATATCTTTCAGTACACAAATGCTTCATTTAGAGTTAAATAAAAATAAACTCCTCATATTTTCTGAGTACTTATGTTCTCTTACTAATCTTGAGTATCTAGATCTTGGTAAAAACCAAATAAGGAAAATTCCACCATTTATCTCAAATATGATATCACTCCATGTTCTTATTTTATGCTGTAATAAATTTGAAGCTTTCCCTATAGAAGTATGTACTTTAGAAAATTTGCAAGTATTTGATCTTTCAATAAACCAAATACAGGATATCCCTTCAGATATCTGTAACCTAAAAAGAATCCAGAAATTAAACATCTCAAGCAATCAATTTATATGTTTTCCTACTGAACTGTGCCGACTTCAATCACTGGAAGAGCTGAATATAAGTCAGATAAATGGAAGAAAGGTAAGAGATTTATATTTTCGGCTTTAGAGGAAAGTTGGCATTGGAGGGAATTAGAATCTAAACTGTAGTGTATGTGTGTCTGTTTTAAAATTAGCTGGAATATTTTATTTTTTAAAATAGGCTTTTTTATTTTTAGCCCCAAACATGGCTTAAAAATATATTTCTCAATCTGAAAGCTTCATAGGAAAATATTTCATTAAAATAAAATTCCAAGTAACTATAGCTGACAATTTTATAGATTTCTTTTTATTTCAGTTTGATTGTAAAAGGAGTTTTAAAGTCATGGGATTATAATATAAACATTACAGAAATTTTACAAAATTGAGAAAAGCAAAAAAAAAAATCATTCCAGAAACATACCATTGTAAGTATAACTATTGGTCACTGGTCATATGTTGATACAACTTACTTTCAGTCTTTTTTATGTGTATGGTTTTATAAGCAATTATAAAAAGATTCTACACTCAATTTTAGTTTCTTCTATTTTCACTTAACGTAAGCATTTCCAGATAATATAACACAATCTTCCCAGTAATTAATTGTGAGAGCCAATACATGATTTATGTAACTAATCATCTGTTCTTAAATATTTAGAGATATTGTAATTTTTCCTCATATATAATGCTGTGATGAACTTCTTCATAAATACAACCTTTTATTCATATTTTAACTATTTCCTTAGGGAGCTTTCCCTAAAGAACTGCGAGATCAATGGGAATAAGTGTTCTTATAGTTTAGCATTTTACTTGAATGTAAGAATGAATTTTATGGGAATACTTAAAAAAAATCAAACAATGTTGATTTATATTAAGATCTTAGTAAACTAATGAAAAGGGCCCAGCTATCATCTGGTCAAGCTTAATTTGACTACCAGTCAAATTAAAGTGCTTTGACAGTGCTGGACTATTACCTAGAGCAAGATTTCCCAAAGTCTGTCCTTAAAAACACTAGTCCTGTAAATGCTCCTTAAAAGAAATGGTGGGGTGTGGGAGAGAGGAGTTCCTGTAATCAACTAGCTTTGAGAAGCACTGGTTTCTTCTCTTAAAGATTCACAACGAATTTTAGTGTATCAAAAGCCCTGTCGAGTCCTGCACTAAAGAAATTGGTTTGTCTCTCTTTAACTCACATTTCCCAAACTTACTCAACCTTTTTAAACCTAACACCTGCTATATAATACATTTCTAGAAAGCCTACTCCAGGGAATACTTGCTTAAGTCGCTGGTTCTGCATTATAATCATCAACTAATTCCTTGGCTGATTTATAATCCTCTCACTTTCTCCTCCTGTATTTTACTATGCAGATCTAGAAGGTTGTGTCCTTAATCTCCTCTTTTCTATTAACTTCATCCCAGACCTTACCACACCATGCACATGACCCTCAACTCTGCATAACTGGAACTGATCTCTCACTACTACTTTAGTACCATAGTTCCCAGTTTCCCTGGAAATTCCCTGTTCTTCTATTGTCTCAAACTCAACATGACTTCAAAGTCAAACTCCTCTTTCTTCCCAACGTAACTCCCTTCCCAACTTCTCCATTTCTGTCTCTAATGTCGCTTTCTTCAGACCTACCAATCTAGAAATCATGAAATCAGTTTTCTTTCCTTTCCATCACTAGTTATACTGAAACTTATACCAACATTGTCTCATTTTTCCTCTGACAAAGCTCTTGGATCAACTTCTTCATTTTCCAGTGTCATTATCTCCAACCTGATCCATGCTTATCACTCACTTCATTCCTAGACTACTCCAGGAGCCTCCTGAGTATTCTCTTTGATTCAGTCTCCTCTTTCATCAGGACTTGTCAAAGCTATCAGATTTCATTATTGAGAAAATTACAGAGTACTATTCTCAGGAATCCAGACTACATATCTATTGCCTATTCATGGCGAGTGGTTGCCAAAGGTAACATTATTAACATCACTTCAAAGATCACCAGATGGGGGTGCCCGGCTTGCTCAGTCAGTAGAGCCTACAACTCTTGAACTTGGGTTGTGAGTTCCAGCCCCATGTTGGGCATAGAGCTTCCTTAAAAAACAAAACAAAAAAGAGTATGCAACCATGTAAAATAAAGCCAGATATCCTTTAAAATTTTTTAAAAAGTTCACCAGATGGAAAAATGATTTATAAGAACTAGTTTCGGGGCACCTGGGTGGCTTACTTGGTTAAACATCTGACTTCGGGTCAGGTCATGATCTCATGATTCGTAAGTTCGAGCCCTGCGCTAGGCTTGGCGCTGACAGCTCAGAGTCTGGAGCCTGTTTCAGATTCTGTGTCTCCCTCTTTCTCTGCCCCTCCCCTGTTTACACTCTTTCTTTCTCTCAAAAATAAACAATAAAAATTTTTTTAAATAACTCTTTTCAAAAAGTATATATAATTGGAAATATCACTTTGATAACCCACTTAGGGTGGAGGTGAAGTGCCCAAAGGATTAATTTATAATGACAGATGGTCACTAAAAAGTCATCTAAAGAAGATAAGTTCAGGTTCGTCAGAGGGCTTTTATTTTACTAAGTGAAGGATAGCCAACAGGGGTCTTTCTTCCATAGTAGCTCTACTATCACACAGTTCTTAGGTACTTCATCTAATAAATGTTGAGCAAACAGTGAAAAATAATTTTTGTCTGAAGGGAAGTCAAATTATGAACCTACCCACCTGTCTTGACCTGACTCCTACTTCCTAGGGCCAACTCTTGAGGCCTGGTTCCATATTCTTTCTCCAAACATATCTTACTCTGCATCTCATCACCTCTCTTTACTATTAAGCCTCTCTCTGGCCCGTTAAAAAAAAATTTTAATGTTTATTCATCTTTGAGAGAGAGTGGGAGCAGAGGAGGGGCAGAGAGAGACACACACACAGAATCCGAAGCAGGCTTCATGAAAGCTCTGAGCTGTCAGCATAGGGCCTGATGCGGGGCTCAAATTTATGAACTGTGAGAACAGGACCTGAGCAGAAGTTGGATGCCTAACCAACTGAGCCACCCAGGGGCCCCTCTCTGGACCATTTTTATGCACGGTATTTGTCTCGCCTAAAGTGTTCTGTGACTTCCATTCAATCCCATTTATGCTTTTTAAAAAATATATTTACTTATTTATTTATCCCACGAACTGTGAGATTATGACCTAAACTGAAAACAAGAGGTAGATGCTTAACCAACTGAGCCACCCAGCTGCCCTCAGTCTTATTAATTCTCTTAGGCCATTTGACTCCTATCTGCTACATGAAGCTTTCATTTAGTTCTCTGATTTGTACTGATATACATTCTCTAAACTTCCATATATCTGTTATTGTACTCTTTATTTTGGCACTGGATTACCTATCATTTAATGCTGTTTCCTGATGGTTTCATATGTGTGTATTTTGTGTTCTGAACTAAATTTTAATCTCCTTTAAGTTAGGGATTGTCTTTTATGCTTCTTTTATATATGGAAGAACACTGAGCACAATATTCAGTATTTACCGTGTTTGTTTCTCAATTCAAAATTCTCTTGTTTACTTGTAGAAGTTCCTTTGTTTCAAAAGCCATTGGTGATGGCCATATTTTCTCTAAATACATGTATTTCTTCTTCACCATAGCAGGGTATCTTAATTCCTGTTATTTAGCAATACTTTTTTGAGGCTACACAGCCAAACTGTGAGTCCATTCTAAAGGAGTTTACTGAGCATTTACTCAAAATATATCATGATTGGGAACATGACAAAAAGTATAAAATGTATACCATGTCATTTAAAAATCCAAGGAAAATACACACAAGGGACTTATAAAAACCAATGCAGATGAGAACAGGAATAAAGAGATCAAATGTGCTACAGAATAGTTTGGGGAAACTTTGGGGAGGAAAGAAAGAGATTGTAAAGAACATCAAGTGCTGGGAGAGTGAAGAAAGTGGGTTAATAAGCCATAGGGTTGAATGGTTAGCATTGGTCAGACTGGGGAGGTACTTGGATGCCACACAATATATTGTGGATTTTAGCAAGGAGGGTGAAAATATTCCTTTTTAAGACCAAAACCAAATTTCCATTTTAGACAAAGTCTTAGTCATAGAAATACTTATTAAAGATAAAATTGTTTGATCTTTGTTACAGTTAACAAGACTTCCAGAAGAGCTGTCTAATATGACTCAACTTAAAAGACTTGATATCTCAAATAATGCAATCATAGAGATTCCAAGAAATATAGGGGAATTGAGAAGTTTGGTTAGTTTAAATGCATACAACAATCAAATAAGTTATCTGCCACCATCTTTTCTATGTTTACATGATCTCCAGCAACTAAATTTGAGTGGTGAGTGTCAAGTGTAATCAATACATATAATTAGTAAGTAGAGTATTCATGTCTAGGTTTCAAGACTTGCTGACAAGACAGAACAGCAGTCAATATATTGCATTAAGTGCTCATTGGAAGGAAATGACCATCCTACATACAGAACATGAGAGCACAGCACAAGGTCCTGTTGCTTTCCTGAAAGAGGTTATAAACCAGCGGAGCACCTTGAACATATTCTCATTTCTCTTCTGTCCTCTCTGCCTATACCCAGGTATTCAGTATTTTTTCCCTTTCTGAATCTGACCTCATCTCTTCCTCTACACAAACTTCACAACCTCAGGTCAGCATTTTCTGTATTTTCCTTTCTGGCTACCCTATTCCTACCCCTATATACTGCAATACTCAGATACCTTATAGTCTTCTACAAAGTAAATCATTACAATAACAACAAAAAGTAAATCACTCACTCTAAAGGCATCAGAAAAGATTTCCCAAGGTACAATAAATACCAGATTGGTATTTTCTTAATAGTTTTTATTATGGCGGTGCCTGGGTGGCTTAGTTGGGTAAGTGTCCAATTCTTGATTTCGTCTCAGGTCATGATCTCACGGTTGATGGGATTGAGCACCATGTTGGGCTCCAGCTGACATCATGGAGCCTGCCTGGGATTCTCTCTCCCTCTCTCTCTGCCCCTTCACTGCTTGTACTCTCTCTCACAAAATAAATAAGTAAACTTTAAAAAATAATAAGTTTTATTATGAAATACTTCAAACTTACAAAAATAATAAATACCTAGGTACTTACTCTGAGATATAAGCAATATTAACATTTTGTGATATTTGAGATATTTTTTAATTGTTAAGAAATAAAATAATGGAGTTGAAATTTCTTTTCTTCTTTTACCCAAACTAAAAGTAGCCACTGTACTGAAATTGGTATGTATCTTTTTTCTTCCATGTTTTTATACGTATATATATTTATATCCATTAACAAGTAATACTATTTTGAGTTTTCAAATTTTACTAAATCTTATCATACTATATGATATGTAATTTACTATTCTGTAAACTTGCTTTTTTATTTGTCATATTTTTAAAATTAATTCATATTAATATATACATAGACTTATTTCATTCACTTTAAATCTTGTATGATATTCAATTATATGATTAAATAACAATCCATTACATGGTTGATAGACAAGTAGGTTGTTTCCAATTTGTTTGCTATTATAAACATCCTGTACATGTTCCTTGTGTACATCTGCTTGAGCTTCTTTAGTGCATATGGCTATAAGCGGAATTGCTGCATTGGAGGGTATGCACATCTTCAGCATTACCAGATTTGGGCAACTTGATCTCCAGTGGTTGTACCAGCTAACCACATGAACCATTGTAATGTATGAAATTTTCTCTTTCAGTTGGAAGTAGTATTTACAACCAGAGCCCTGTGCATCTTTTTAGATTTAGAGGATTTTCAGAATAAAACAACAAAGTTCATCTTTTTTGGTCAATTGTCCTAGTATTATAGTAAAACCTACAGTTGTGCATAAATACTTAGATATAATGCAACTGGCATTTGTCCCCTGAACCTCCAGAACTCCCAGTAAGCTGGCTGTGCAGGTAAGTATCAGTCATTTCACTAATTTTGCAACAACTTGCAGTGAGTTGTAAAAACTCAGCCTGGCACCTGAATTTTCTTGTTTAACTTTTGTGTTTTGGCCAAGTTTTACTCTATTTTAAGGTTACCTATTATGTCCAAGTGTAGGGTACACTGCACTCACCTACCATTTGTACACGAAGAAACAAAAACAAAAAACAGAAGCTGACAAGAGCCCCCTGGCCCACTGGAAAACACAACGACCCATCAGAAGCATGATTCTCTGGAGGCTTTCTAGTACAGAATGAAGACAGAATGGGAAGATCAAAGACTTCTGTAAGCTTTACCTGTTCTCTGCTGGTCCCTACGAGAATTAGGAAAATATATCAGTCAGGATCCAACCAGGAGACAGAAATCATACCTTAATAACTAAGGATATATACATGGTATTAACTACAGTACTGAAAGGGTACAAGAGAATTCGAGGTTAATCATAAAGTAGCAATGGCAGAAAGCAATAACCACCCTATGGCTAAGAGAATAAAGCAGAAAAGGCAGAATGATTAAAACTCAGAAGCTTGGAGGAAGGGGCTACGCAGGGGTCAAACAGGCATCTGAGAATGGAGAAGTGTTTGGCGGGTGCTAGTTTCTCTAAGCTTGGGGGTGGTATGTGTATGAGTGCGCGTGCGTGCGTGTGTGTGTGTGTGTGTGTGTGTGTGAGAGAGAGAGAGAGAGAGAGAGAGAGAAAGAGAGAGGAGAGAGAGAGGAGAGAGAGACAGAGACAGAGACAGAGACAGACAGAGACAGAGGAAGACAGAAGGAAGAAAGCCGGGAGAGAGAGAGAGAACGCGCACGCGCGCGCAGCGCTAGTTCTGTGAGGGTCGGGACAACTACAAACTGCAATACGTGCTGCTGGTGGAGTAAGAGTGTTGCCAGGGTGACACTAAAAGAAAAACAGTCAAGAAACCCAAAGAAGTAGGTTTGGAGCTAAGTGACAGTCGGTAAGCAACCAGCTTTTATTGCCACGTCACCAGCCTTTATTGCCAAGTTTGAAGTTAGAAGAGGTGAGTTCAAGTCTTGTCATTTAGTCTGTTTCCTCTTATTTATAAAGTGAAGCTGACTGGAATATCCATGCCATAGATTTGTTTGCAGACTGAATGAGACTTTGAAAGCAGATAGCATACTGGGAAAGCACTATTCAAGCAAAAGATGTTTATATACTCTTGTGAAATAATCCTGTCTGTCACAAACTAGCAAATTTAGGAAGATAACCCTTCTGAACCTCAGTGTTTTCATCAGCAAGACAGAAAAGTTACGACTTCTGCTTGTGGGAATATAACTAGATAAAACTTATGAAAAAAGCTTCACAAATGGGAGGTAATGAGCCAATGAAAGGGATTTAGAGATTGATTCCTTTCTTTCCTCATAGCATGGGCTTTGGAGTAGAACAGACCTTCGAATTCTAGCTCCATCTTTCAACAGGAATTTTTTTTTGAACATTAATTTTCTGTTTCCTAATCTGTAAATGGAAATAATATCTACTCTTTGATTTGTGAGGGTTAAATCATTAACTACTAAGCACAAAGACTGATACAATATAGGTTTTAAACAGATGTTAGAGCCTCTCTCCAAGGAGCCAAAATAACAAATGAAAGGAAGTGGGTTGGCATGAAAAGTGCCGGTTGTCGTCCTCAGGGAGGACAGTTCTGAGGACAGTTCTCTTGCCTGACGGTTCTCTCTACAGGCCTTGGTAATGCTTCCCTGCAGGCTTCCATCTTCTTCTACCTGTAAGACAGCTAATTAAGCTGATATTGTTGTATCTGTTGTTTACAGCTGGCATCTGTTCTGATGGATCAGTGCTTGTGCCAAATAAGCTGTTAAATGTATATATTTTTAAATTTTTAAAAATATGTTTAATGTTTGTTTTTGAGAGAGAGAGTGAGCACGTGAGAGACTGGGGGAGGGGCAGAGAGAGAGGGAGACACGGAATTTGAAGCATGCTCCAGGCTCAGAGCTGTTAGCACAGAGCCTGACGCCAGACTCGAATTCAGGAGCAGTGAGATGACCTGAGCTGAAGTCAGATGCTCAACCAACTGAGCCACCCAGGTGCCCCAGTTGTTAAATATTTTGAATAGCACCACTGCTTACATGTACTAATGTAACAGCCTCTGAAAGGACTCCTACCTATAGCCTCTCTCTCTCACTTTGTTGCTGTCAGTATTTAAAAACACTTTTTATTAAAGTATAATATGCATACTTAAAAAAGTACATATTATCTCAAAAGATTAATATTAAAAGTAGAACTACCATATAACCCAGCAATTATATTTCTGGGTATTTATCCAAAGGGAAAGAAATCAGTAACTCAAGATATATGCTCTCCATGTTCATTGGCATTATTTACGGAAGTGTCCATCAATGGATGGATAGATAAAGAAAATGTGGCATGTATACACACACACACTCACACAGACACACAATGGAGTTATGTTCAGCCATGAAAAAGAAGGAAATTTTGTCATTTGCAACTACATAGATGGATCTTGGGGGCATTTCGTTAAGTGCAATAAGCCAGACAAAGACAAATATTATACTATTTTACTTATATGTAGAATCTAAAAACACAAACAAAACTGAACAAAACAAAACTGAACTCATAGATACAGAGAACAGATTGATGGTTGCCACAGGTGGACCTGGGCAAAATAGAGGGGAACAAAAGGTACAAACTTCCAGTTATAAAATAGCTAAGTCCTGGGATGTAATGTACAGCATGGTGACTATAGTTAATAATACTTTTGGTATATTTGAAAGTTGTTAAAAGAGTAGATCCTAAAAATTTTTATCACAAACAAATGTGTAACTATGTATTTTTTTAAATGCTTATTTATTTTTGAGAGAGAGAGTGCAAGTGAGGGAGGGACTGAGAGAGAGGGGGACAGATGATACAAAGCAGGCTCTGCATGGACAGCAGCATGCCCAATGTGTGGCTCAAACTCACAAACCCTCAAGACTATGACCTGAGTGGAAGTCATAGTCACTCAACCGAGTCATCCAGGCACCCTGTAACTATGTGTTGTGATGGATGTTAACTAGAATTGTTATGTTGACCGTTTTATAATATATACAAATATTGAATCATCATGTTATACATCTGCAAGTAAAATGTTATATGCCAATTATAATTCAGTTTTTTAAAAGTACATATTTTAAGTATACATCTCAATGAACTTTCACACACTGAACAAACCCATTTTCAGAACCTAGATCAAGAGACAAGACATTCCCAGAAACCCCTTCTTGCGTCCTTCCCATCATTTTTCTCCTTTCTCTCAACCTAGGGAAATACTATCATGATTCCCAATAGTGGGCCTTAAGTGAAATCATGAAGTATATACTCTTTTATATCTGGCTTCTTT